ACACAGCAGCACCAGATGTCAGTTCTTGGATCATTTAATCTTTTTCTCTTGTGCTTATTTTTGTCAATATTTTCCTGCTGGATCCAAATATTAGTTTCTGGCTCAGCTTGCAATATAAAAATTTTCCAATTAGATTTTTATGGCTTCATTTTTATTCATGAGGGGAAACTTAATAAACAGAGCTCATCACATATTTGTGGCATGTAGGAGAGGAACTTTAAAATAAGCCACCTGGCCCAAAGCAGGGCTGAGAGCCTGGGATTCTAATCCTTTCTGGAGTCTCAAGGAACCTGGCATGAGTCTACATTCTTCATCCCCAAGTACTTCTTAATTTGGAAGGAATCCTTGGATTTATATTAATCTGCTATATAATTGACCTTATTCCCAATTCTGGATTAATTTAATTCCTCTCTTAGCTTTTAAGTAGATTTTCTGCATACTTCTATGCCAGGTGTGTAGGGAAGTATAAGAAAAGTGTGAAGCATGGTGGTGTTTGGCTGGAAGGAATTTATGGCTTGGGGCTGAGGAGGCTAAGTGAAGTGCCATTGTTGTGCAGCATGTAAGTGCCTTGCAGAAAGTGGTAGGTGACATGTGAAATAAGCTCCTAAGGAGGAGAGAGAAAGACGCACAAGTAGGTGTTCAGGGAATGTTTTAAAGCAGAATTGGGCCTTGTGCTGGATTCGGTCAGAAAAAGAAGCATAGCAAGGTTACCTCAAGCTTGGGGAAGGAGTACGGATAAAGGCACAGAGGTGGGGAGGAGCCCCAGGGGTTCAAACCACAGTGTGAGCCTGAGCTCGTGAGAGTGGGACACTCAGCCACCATCTTTTCTTTTTCTTCTTTCTTCCATCACCCAAATTCTTGAATGAGTGCTAACTGTCCCAATTCATCATAGTGTAGCTTTACTCCCACTATTCCACTGATACTGTGCTGTTGAAGGTCCTCAGCGACTCCCCTGCTCCCAGTGGCCAGGTGTGTTTGTCTGAACTTGCAGAATTTATGTGGAGGCAATGGATGTTGTTGATTCCAGACTACTTTTTCTTACTCATCTCCAAATGCTTCCTGGCTCCAGAAGTTATTGAAAGACTCTTATATTAGTCCATTTCTGTTGGGTATAACAAAATACCTGGAACTGGGTAATTAGTAAGAAAACAGAGTTTATTCCTTACAGTTTCAGAGGCTGAGAAGTCTAAAGCATAGGGAACACATCTGATGAGGGTCTTCTTTGGTGGTGATGCAGGTTATCACATTACAAGAAAGGCAGGAGCAGAGAGAGAGACTTTCATGTGCTCTTCTTTTAAAGTTCTCAGAACCACTCCCAAGACCACCATTATTAATCCATTCATTAGGGCGTGGGCCTCAGAATCTAATCCCCTCTTCAAGGCCCCACCTATCAATTACCATAATAAGATTTCCTACCCTCAACAGTTACAATGGGGATTACGTTTCAGTGACTTAAAACTTGGGGGACACTGTTCAGTCTATATCAACACTGGAGTGTACACCAAACTGATTTATTTATTTATTTATTTATTTATTTATTTTGTTGAAACATAATTGTACATATCTGTAGAGTACCCTGTTAAATATCAATACCTGTGTGCAATGTAATGCTCAAATCAGGATAATTAGTATGTTCAGCATTCTACAATGTAATCATTTTTTGTGTATCTACCAATTTCTCACTAATACCCCCACCCCATTCCCCCTTTCCCACCTCTGGTAACCTCAGTTCTGTTCTTTACTTTTGAAAGTTCAGATATTATTGTGATTGTTCTATTTTTTTTTTTTTTTTTTTTTTTTCATGTTATTTGCTTTTTTTCTGAGCTCCCACTCATGAGTGAAGACATGCAGTATTTCTCTTTCTGTGCCTGGTTTATTTCACTTAACGTAGTTTTTCTCTAAGTTCATCCATGTTGCTGCAAATGGCAGAATTCCTTTCTTTTTTTTATGGCAAAGTAATATTCTGTTGAGTATATATACCATATTTTCCTTATCCAGTCATCCGTTGATGGACATTTAGGTTGGTTCCATATCTTAGTTATTGTACACAGAGTTGTGATAAACTTGGGAGTGCAGGTATCCCTTCAGCATGATGATTTCCATTCCTTTGGGTTTATATCCAGCAATGGGATTGCTGGATCATATGGCACCAAACTGGATTTAGATCCCTGTTCCACCACAGCTGTGCTGTTGAATTAGGGAAATTAATTATCACCTCTCAGCCTCAATTTAATGGAAATAAGGATACCTGACTCATAATGTGGTTGTAAAGATCAAAAGAGATAACATGGATAATATGTTGAAATAAATGGCTTATGATAGGTAGGCATCAAGGTTGGTTCCCTTTTCCTACCTGGTAGCTATTCTGTCCCTCTTGCCTGAATCTGTCTTGCCCCTTTCATTGCTATCCCTTTCCCTCTTTCTGGAATGCCCTATCTCTCTTCTTTACATTGAAATTTTAACTGCCCTGAAAGGTTTGTTTTATCAACTTAATCAAAATTGAATTTTGTGTCTTCTGAATTCTTAGTATTATTCATTGGACAGTTCCGAGTTACCACCTTTCAGTTTAGTTATTTGCACACATCTGATTTTCCCCACTAGATGATAAACTCCTGGAGGGAGGAATCCATGTTAGGGACATTGAGGTAAAGCAGTAAGAGTTGAGACTGTGTCTCCCGTTGTCTCCATACGGGGCTTGTGCATAGCTGCCATGCTTCTAGGGTGATCTCATCATCGTATCATTTTTTCTCTTTTCTTTTTTTCCTAAGTACAACCATATGCTGAGAATTTCTAATGTTTTTCTTCTGCCTTTACTGTCCTCCTGTGCTTTCGATGTAATCAGGAGTCTGGGGCATGTCTCCAGCTGACTACCCCATGGGCATCTCAGAGCAACATGTCCAGATCTATCTCTCATCACCTTCCACTCCCCTGTCCCACACACAGTCTGCCCTCTTCCTGTATATTGTATCTGTGCTGTCATAGTCGACCCAGTCCCTGAAGCAGAAACTTGGAGGGCATTCTTCATTGCTTCCTTTCCTATCTTGTCTACATTGAGTGAGTCACCAGCTGTCAACTCATTTGCCTCCTAAGTATTTCTCTGTTAACTACTGCTTCCTAGGTTTGGGCCCTATGCCCTCAACTCATTTTACTGTGACTTCTTTCTGAGTCCACTTTACCCTGTTCTTAATCCTCTGAAGTCCATACTCTACCTCAACAATCTGATTGTACCACACTCCCTCATGTAAGACCCTTTGGTGGATGTAAAAAATTGGTTTTACCTTGTGAACCAGTTCCGGTCAACTTCGTTATGTCTGCTGCAAGTGCTGCTGTCGGGTTCACCGTGATCACTTAGTGATGTCTGGCAAAGTGCGGCAAAGCACGCAGGCAGTGCATAGCTCCTTAGTGTGGCATGCAGGGTCTTCCATGACCCTGACACTTCCCACGTCTTCATTCTCAGCTCCCACCATTTTCCTGCTTCACACTTTACTCTAGAGCAGCAGAGGGCTATTTTGTCTTTTTGCTTTTGTTCAATCTGTACCTGCATCCCTGTACCCATTACCTGGGAAGCCCATACTCATACTTACAACCTTAGTTTGTATGTGTGTGTGCTGGGGGGAAGGAAGGGGCAGTGGTGGTGCATGCAGTGGACCCTGCATGAGGCTGTTTTTTGTAAATTTATTTTTTTAATTGACAAATAAAAATTGTGTATATTTATTGTGTACAACATGATATTTTGAAATATGTAGATTGTGGAATGACTAAGTGGAGCTAGTTAAGTGTCCTTTCTGTAGGCTCTAGTAGCAACCTGTGCCCCCTCCATAATAGTACATACCCCATTGTCTTGAAACCCTAAGCCTAGCAAGACAGTAAATTCCATTAGAGTAAATATCATGCCTCATGTATCTTTGGTCCCTGGTACTTATGACATTACCCTTCATGTAATATGTACTGTGGATCAAATTCTTTATTGAATTGAAATGAAATAGTAAATATTTTTTTTGTTTTGTTTTGTTTTGTTTTGTTTCGGCAGCTGGCCAGTACCCAGAACCAAACCCTTGACCTTGGCTTTACAAGGCTGTGCTCTGACTAACTGAGCTAGCTAGCCAGCGCAAAATAGTAAATAACTTGGTTGATGAATGTACTTTACTTTTTTTTATTTAAATTTGATTAGAGAACATGATTTTGTTTCAGGGTGAAATGACAGGTTTTAGGAGTGTTAATGCCCTGCAGACAATTTAGGTCTACTTAGGCAATAAGTAGACATTGGAAATTTTTTAGCAAGGGAGTGGCATGATGAAAATGGTATTTAAGGAATAATGATCTGGAGAAACTATTTTAATGATAGTTTAATTATTTTATGAAAGTTTTAAACTGCTGCCAGCAAGCATAGGTGAGTGTCTCAGGGGTGGGGAGAGGAAAAGGCATGCATGTAATGCCATTCTGATGAATAGCATACTGAGGTCTTCGTACTTTCATTTCCACATTAGCTCAAGTGCAATGTACTTGCTGGCATGTTTCCAAAAATAACATAGAACACTGAGATTATTTTTATTTTTAAAGAAAGAACTTTTTGTAAAATACCTAAGTAAGCCATTTTACATAATTATCTGAGACATATTCATTATTAATTACTTGAAAAGATTATGAGTTCCAAAATTTAAAAAAATAATAATTATCATCTGCATAGCTAGCCTACAGTCTTCCAAAGCCAGTGAAAGTTTTCATTTTGGCACATTTTGAAATCTAATTATGAGGGAAATACTTTAGTTTGGTTTTCCATCAGCTTTTTACATTATAGTTTATTATCTCTATAGTTTAACATCTCTGTTCTTTTGTGGTTTCCTCCCTCCCCATGGGCATTTGCGTTTTGTATTTGACTCATGTGACTATGTTTCCTGGTTTAAGTTTATCTTTCATTTGTAGCTCTACTCTGCTTTATTTTTTATATTGGCCATTATGAACGTCTTAATTTACAGTTACTTTATTATTTTTTACTACAGGGTTTTGATTCATTGATTAAAAAGAAGGACTTTTCCAAATACTTTGCACTTTTGATTGCATATTATGGATACCAAGGAAGAGAAGAAGGAACGGAAACAAAGTTATTTTGCTCGGTAAGCATTCACTTTGCAAAATTATATGTGTACTTTTAAAAAAAAAAAAATTCGAGGTGACTTTGTCCTAAAGTATTACTTGGCATTTTGTGTTTTGTGACTGTTCAGAAACACAAATTTCGTCCTTTTTCTTATTCATCTCAGAGGAATAACATTAGTTTCTTCTCTATCTTTGACGGTTCTCAGACCAGTGCTGCTCAGAGAATCTAGCTGTCATGTACTGACTTACAGATCGCAGTGAATCTCATGTTTAACAAACTACCTTGAATTTTAAATCCTAAGTGCATAGCTTGTGCTGTTCTGTAGCTTAATTGGTTGAGCTATAGCTAAAAATCTATGACGCATTTAAAGCTTATCACCTTGTGGGGAGTCCATTACTAAAAAGTATTTTTGTAGGTAGGTGAAATGTGTGTAATTTTATCATTGGAATCAGTATCATTTTTAAGGCTTTAACTCATTCAACATATATACATTCGTTGATATCTAAACAGAAATAATCTACTGTATGACTGATTGCTATTTATATATTTAAACATCTGGCAGTCATTCATTAATCATAATAAAATGAATGATATGCTAAGCATTTATAAATCATTTTGATAGTCAGAATGTTTTCAGACTCAGAGAACATAGGCTTAAAATGATCGTTATGGTCTCCTAAATTGAAATACTTCTCAAGAACTGAAAAGTAGCCTCACTTCTTCCCCAACCCCCATCTATGCTTGTTATGATGCATTCCTGTTTTCTAAATGTAAGCCTTGAAACTAAACCCAAAGTTTGTTGTTGATATTTGTAACTGGTAATTACACAGGATTTTAGGCTATGAATGAGAAAAGGAAGGAAACAATTTAAGGACTTACTATGCACCAAGTGCTTTACTTACTATGTTTATCTTCAAAATAAAACTATGACATAGGTTATTTTACCCTATTATATCAATTAGGTGAGTATTTTGTCTATTTCATGCAACAGAAAAGTCAGTATTCAAACACAGGGCCATCTCCAAAGTGCATGTTCCAGTTAGGAATAATAAACCATAAATAATGGTTTTGGGAAAGCAAGAATTAAACTCCTAATTGTACGGAAATATTTTCCGCTGTTAGGACTACAGACTGTAGCAAGATTGTTTGGGGAAGAAAGAAGCCATCTAATGAGTGAAACATTGGAAAGATAGGACATATAGAATAAATAATAACTATATACATTTTTAAGATAACAGTAGATTCACATGTTCTTGTAAAGAATAATAGATACCCTGTATCCTTCATACAGTTTCCCCCAAAGGTAACATCTTGTGATATCACCACTAGGAAATTGACATTGATACAATCTACCAACCTTATGCAGATTTCACCAGGTTTCCAGATACTTATTGTGTGTGTGTTTGTATGTATTTATTTCTATGCAGTTTTATCATGAGTAGATTTGTGTGGCCACCATCACTGTTAAGATACAGAACAATTACATAAAAAGGACTCCACGAGCTACCCTTTTGTAGCCATACTTACCTCCCTCTCTTTACCAAAAGTTGAACATCTTTTCATGTGTTTGTTAGCCACTGACAACACTAACATGTTCTTAATCTGTGTAATTTGTCATTTCAGGGATATTATATGAATGGAATCATATAGTATGTAAACTTTGGTAATTAGCTTTTTTCATTCAGCATAATTCCCTTGAGATCTGTCCATGCTGTTGTATGTATCCATAGTTTTTCCTTTTTATTGCTCAGTAGAATTCCGTGGTATGGATGTATCACAGCTTTTTAGTAATGCACATAATTGAAAGACATTTGGGTTTTTTCCAGTTTGGAAAAAACTGCTAGGATCATGTTTTTTTTGTGAACATAAGTTTTCATTTCTCTGAAATAAATGTCCAAGAGTGCGTTGCTGTGTCAAATGGTAAGTGTATGCTTAGTTTTGTGAGAAACTATCATATTATTTTCGAAAATGGTTGTACCATTTGACATTCCCATCAGCAGTATGTGAGTGATTCAGTTTCTTTTCATTGTCACCATCATTTGGTATTGTCACTATTTTTTATTTTAGCCATTTTAATAGGTGTGTAGTGGTATCTCATTGTGGTTTTAATTTGTGTTTCTTTACTGGTTAGTGAAGTTGAACATCTTTTCATGTGTTTATCAGCCATCTGTAGATCTTCTTCAATGGAACCTTTTTTTCATGTCTTTTGCCCATTTTCTTATTGAATTGTTTTTTATTGTTGAATTTGGGGAGTTCTTTATACATTCTAGATACTAGTCCTTTGTTGGATATGTGGTTTGCAAATATGTTCTCCCAGTCTGCAGCTTCTCTTTTAATCCTCTTAACAGGGTTTTTTGCAGAACCCTATTAAGTTTTTAATTTTGATATGGTTCAATTTATCAATTTCTCTTTTTTATGAATTGTGCTTTTAATGTCAATTCTAACATCTCTTTGCCTAGCCCTAAGTTCTGAAGATTTGTTTCCTGCTTTTTTTTTTCTTTATAGTATTATATTTTATAATTAAGTCTGTGATCCATTTTTAGTTAATTTTTGTATAAGGTGTGAGTTTCCGTCCAGGTTCTGTTCTCTTTCTTTCTTTTTCTTTTTTATTTTTTTTTGCCTTTAGATGCCCTACATAGTGATTTTAAAATCTGTAGTGCCTTCTCATTCTGAATCCAAAGTGATTCCAATAGTAAGAGTTACTGCTGGTTCACGAACAACCTTCTCAATGTTAACTTCTTGTTCCAAAAATGTAGAGTAAAGGGAGCCCCTTAAAGTGAGAATACAAGCCAAAATTGTTCTGGAAGAACAGAACAATTCAACTCAGAATTATAAAATTTAATTGTTATGTTTACCTTGACCTCTATTAAAAAGTATTCAAATAATGAAAAGAAAAACATATACCAAAAATGCCTAACTGTGACCTTGAGAGGCTAGGGACAAAAGGACAAGTATAAAAATCAGTAGTGCTATTAAAACAGTAAGTCAACATGATTTGTTACCAGTGAATGAGAGAGAGAGATAACCTGTAGTTTAGGTATTATAATGCAGTGGAAGCTAGAAATGGTCAAGCTATTAAAAGCAAAAAGCAAACCTCAAACCTCTATAATCAAAAAGGAGCCAGCCGAAGTTATAAATCTTTCCAGATGCCCTCTGGTGAAACTGTGGAATTATCATAAAGTGGATTTACCAATAGAATTTATTTGAAAGTCAGTTTTTGCCAACATAGAGCAGATTTCTCTGGAGCCAGTGTACTTAAAGGCAGTCCAGGCAAGATCTCCGGAGAGGAACGTAAGGTCAGGCCAAGGGTAAGGCAAAATTGATGCAATCACAGTCTTCTCTCAACTAAATTATACCACCTTACAGAAATCTCGATGAATGTTGAGAAGAAATCAAAAGGAAGATCTGCCCTGATGTTCTGCTTGCTACCACAGTTGTGTATTGGAAACCCTAAAAATTCCTTTTAAACTCTGCTTCCCCCTATCCTCCCTCCCTTTTTCTTCCTGAGTAGTTAAATAGCCAGTGTTTACTTTGTATGCTCTCACATCGTGTGGTTTCATAAACATTGTGTGGCTGTGTTTGGTAAATAATCCTTTACCAAACCTCCTTTGTTGATGTTTCTCTCTTTCTCTTTTTCTCAAAGTAAAGTTTGAAAGACTCTATTTTAATAATGTTGGATTAAAATTAATGATTTGAGGGTCACCCAATCCTTCCTTTTTAATAAATTATCTTGAAATATGCCTGTGTAACTCTAAATGGAAGGGTGGATTAGTCTCACTACTAGATAAATTCATCTGGATTAGTCTTGATGAGTTTTCAGGACCCTGGCCCACCTGGTTTTTAGGAGCTTTAGTGTAGTTTTATACCAGTTTATCTTGGATCCAGTGATTCATGACACCTTTCTTCATGCTTTTGCAAAGAATTTGTATGTACAAAATTAGTACATTATATTTGTGTGTATTCCATGATCCCTGACAGATCTTGAAGACCAGATGAAAAACTGTATTATTAAAGCAAATTGTATTCTCTGTACCATTTGTACTCTGTACAAATTATACTGTCCACTGCGGAGACTGTTTTTCATTATGGTGCCTGCTTCTCTCTGTCCCTCACCGTGTAGTTAGAGTGCAGGTATTTCTTCAGTAGTGCCACACAGGGCTCTCTTCTATGCTCAGTTGACATTATTTGGCTTTTGTAATTTTCATGTAGGTCCCTATGTGCTATCTGTATGTGTGTTTGAAAATTCTTCGAAAGCATGTTTTTCAGTGTCAAGGGTTAATTGAGGACATCAGAAATACATTTGTAGTTATCCCAAAGTGGTGTTTTGTGGGAGGTTTACTTTTCACCTCTGATAATGTCTGAGAGGGCCTGTGAGTAGACACTGAGTGATACTCACCAGCAAGCAGTGTGTTGTTCATGAAGGTCCCTCTTCCTAGACTTGCCCGATTCCCTCCTCTGCTATTCCCTGGTTATCGTGAAAAGCAGAACTGCCGCTCCCACCTGCTATCTTCTCTTACCCACCTCTTCAGAGCTAGCATCATGATCCCCAGCACCTCTGCCATCAGCCTCCGTGATAAAGAATGCAGAGTGTCGAGCATATCTCAGTTCCCATGCCCACTCCCACCCACAGCCTCTGCCCTGGCAGTTCATCAACCTTGAACCTCTGACCCATAGCAAAACATTTAATGTTTGAAAATAGCTCCAGTGTATATAACCTTGGGCATATTCTCTAAACTTCCTTTACCCTGCATTACTGAAGAAGTTGTTAAATGTGGCTAAAACAACCCACTAACAAGATGGCTTTGAAGAAGGAAGTATCCCAGCCAGAACTGGGGAGAAGAAGCCCAAATGGGACACAGTGAGGACCAGAGCCAAACAGCTGGCCCCTTATTCCCTTCTTTAGGGAGGAGAATCTGGAGACTGATGTTTGAACTCACTGTATAGCCTTTTTATTAAGTCTACATAGTAAACTGTGTAGCTTTCTTTTTAAAACACAGCCAATCCAAGATGGTGATGAAT